GAGAAAATTTTGTTTGATGACATTTTCTAGATGTTTTTAATACATTTTGATTTTACAGGTATAAGTCATCAAATTATTCTCTTATTATCTTTATATATATAAGCTGTATCTATATCTCCTTTTTTCCATTTCTAAATTTGTTCACATGGGTTTTTAAAGAAAGCTCACTGAATTTTCATATTTCCCTGTTCTAGCAGTCTATAGACCTCCTGAGAACTGAAGCAACTCTTACTGATGACCCGTACTCCAAGGTCTTTTGAATTTTGGGTGAGAAGGAGTTAGCTCTTCTCCCATGTCTTCACCATCACATTGTAATGAAAGCGAATTTCAGACTAAATGTAGCATAAGGCATGGAAGCAAGTAGGCATCATGCAGTTCTCGTTGTCTGTTCTGTAAGTTGAAGCCCCAGTTTCCAGTGCCCTGTAGGTGTGTGTGTTGATCACCACTCTGCATGGACGTTTTTTTCAGAAGCAGGTTTTCCAGCATCCTGCCTTTTACCCTCATCATGGACACCATACAACCCAAAGGCCTGCAAACCTGCTGCTGGACTATTGCGTGTGCGGGCTACAGGCTTTGGATTGGGTGGCTTGACCCCTGAATGGATTCAAGGGTGTGGTTGCTATAGTTAGATGCTATCCAGCTGGTCCCCTTGGAAAGCCACCCCGTGTGACAGAGTCGACCTGCCCTGTAAGGTTACCTTAGCTGCTGTGTTCGTGAAAGCAGATGACCGCGCCTTTATTCTGCAGACCTTCTGGGTGGGCGCAAACCATGAACTTTCTGGACAGTAACGGAGAGCTCTGCCATTGCCACTTGATAGGGAGTATCTAAAAGATTCCCGCCCATCCATACCATCCATTGTGCTCATGAACAAACTATGCACTCCATCTGTAGAATCTCATGTCTCACCTTCATTCTGCGCAGTGTCTCGTACTCACATCCAGAGAGCGGGACTTTTGGATTCGGGTGCGTGCTGGTCACATACAGGAAAGCGCACACAGTTCTAATTTGATTTCCCCAAGAGATCAAGCAGTACTCGGCATTGGGTAAATCTGCACAAGCCCTCCTTAAGGTGTTGGAAAGGGAGGACCCAAGCCGTGGTATTTTCAGTCCCCGTGTATGCGTGTGTAAGTCGGACCTCGCGTAAGGAAGACCACCGAAGAGGAACCGGTGCATTTGAACTCTGTTGCTGGCGAAGAACACTGCAAGGACCACACACTGCCGTAAGAACAGACACGTAGTCTGCCCTGGGAGAAGAACCGCAGCCGGAATGCTCCTTCGCTATGAGGGTGGCAAGCCAGTCTCAGCGCTTTGGACACGTCGTCAGGAGAGGCCAGTCCCTGGAGAAGGACCTCGTGCTTGGTACAGAGGAGGGGCACTGAGAAAGAGGAAGGATCTTGACCAGAGGGATTGATGCAGTGGCTGCCCATTGGGTTCAAACGTTATTGCCATTGTGAGGATGGCCCAGGTGGTGCTATGTTCTGTGGTGCATCGGCTCACTCCTGGTCACAATCGTACGTGAAAACAACAATACAGATCACAATACGGACAATGTCCAGCACTCTGGGAGGCTGCCTCCTCATACTGCTTCTACCGTCTTTCCCTGAAAGTAAGACATCCCCCGAAAATAAGGCCTACTTACAGTCTTGCTTCTCGCTGGAATATAAGGCATCCCCCGAAAATAAGACCTCCTCGAATATAAGGCCTCCCCGATAATAAGCCCCCCCCCCAGCTACTGTAACTCTAGACTCTGGACCGTAGCGGCAGGCACCACAGCACAGCTCACTGTTGGCCGCAGCGCAGCCGGAGCAGACAGGAAGTGCGAGTAAGTGTACCATAGATTGTTGTACATGGAAATAATGGTAGTAACAAGAAATTCTTGATACTGTAGCATTCACAGTTTGTCTGGTTATGCTGGTTTTTGATGACAACTACAACCGTACCGTATACAGGTAATAACATTTCCTTTTTTGTTGTTCAACAATAAATGTGTACCGTATTCTTCTTCATGGAAAAATAAGACATCCCCTGAAAATAAGACCTAGTGCATCTTTGGGAGCAAAAATTAATTTAAGGCACTGTCTTATTTTCGGGGAAACAGGGTAGTCACGACCACCTACCTCCCCTTCCTCACCGCAGCTGCAAAGGGAATTATCATTCTCACAGATTAGTTCTACCTGAAAGGGAGACTAGTTTTGCTTGTCTTGAGTTTCATGTAGATGGTTCCTATCATGAATCGGTGGTGCCTGTCTTCTTACTCTCGTCATTACGTTTTCTGAGATTCAATCACGTTTTCACCTATGTAGATTGTTCATATTTTATTCATTCTGGTGTCGTATTTCCTTTGTATTAAACTTAGATGGCCATTCTATGATGGATGGACAGTTGGTAGTTTCCAGTGTGGGGTTTTTATAAATAAATCAGCTAAAGACATCTTGGCGCATGTCGTTGGTGGAAGGAGTGTAAGGTATTGATTAGGGTAATTAATGGTCACTGGCGTTGAAGTTTAATTAGCGGATGCGGTTGGTTAGCCCCTGCCGAAGCATTTTAAAGCAAATGGAAGGAATTGTATATATATATTTTTAAAAGGTGGGATTTAACCTAGCCTGACCTGCATTTCGAGAACCCAGGCTGGTGCTGGAGATGATCCCCACTTTGGAGCTCCTTGTCAGTAGCAAGTATCCTCAGCCAGAGGGAGGGTCAGCATCCTGGAAGCTGAGATTTCTCATGTGAACGTATGTTGTCCTTTCATACCTCCCCTAGAAGGGTTGGGAGAAGAATCTTTTTGTTAATTCTGCAAATACGCATCAGTTTTCTAATTTTGGATTCTCATTGTGAAGAAAGTCATGAATTACTAAACACCCTGAGAACTTAAACCAGTATTTGTGGGGAATCCCCTGAGTTGGCGTGAATGAGGTTTTAAAATATTCATTTGTATATTTCTTTTCATGTCATTTTGGGTATTGTGATGAAAACGACATTTGCTGCTGATCCCGAATCTCTGAATATGCCTATGAAATTTTAATTCCTCCTATACCTTCCGGACTTTGAAGGCTTTAGAGAGGGTCTGTTTTCCTCTAATAGGTTACTAGAGGGGAAACCTGTTAGCCCAAGAGAACTGATGGATAGGGAAACGGAATTGAGACCAGCATTGAGGGATGCTGCATTCATTTGAATTTTAAAAGCGTCTGTGCTCTATGAAAGTGAAGAAGATTAGCATCCTCTTTAACAATGGAAAGCAGTCTAGTTGTCTCAACCACACGTACCCAGTTCAGCCATTACCACCTCTTTGTGGCACCTCACCGTGTTTTTGGGCAACCGAGGGGAGCAGAATCTGGCAGGCAGTGTGAACCCCAATTCCAGGTGAGTGTACCTTTTGACCCATTGGCCTCATTTTTGCGATTCCATCTACACCTGCACAGGGTGACACGATGTGTGGGCACAGTCATGGCAGCGCTCTGTAACTGATTATTGGAAACCACCAAGTGGCTGTCGATGAGAGACTCGTTTTCAGGAGGCCTACAGTGGAACCCTCTGCAATTACTAGAATCGAACATGGGACGTGTTTTCTGATAGGGGAAGATTCCAGAGAATATTAAAAACCAAAATGAAAACTCACTGCCGTCAAGTCGACTCCCACTTACAGCAACCTTATAGGACAGGGGAGAAATGCCCCTTGGGTTTCTGAGCCGTTCAATCTTCAGGGGAGTAGGCAGCCTCCCCCTTCTCCCCTGGAGTGGCTCAAGGATTTCAACCACGGACGCTGTGGTTTGCAGTCCAGTGCGCAGCTCCCTATGCCACCAGAAATCACCTGGTGACAAAGCAAGATGGAGATGATTGTCTACAGTAGTCATCATATATCCTAAAAGGGAGAATTTGAAGAAATGTATATTTGAATCCACTTTCATTCCCCTAAAGAAACACTGGGAAGGTAAACAAGAAACTAATAAAAATGCTTCTCTAGTGGACTGAGGGAATGGAGGGATTGGGCCTCTGTTTAGGATTGACGCCTGTATGTATGTATTTTGATACTGTGTACACCCACCGACCAACTGGTCAACCCACAAGAGCAAATGGTGAAGTGGCTCAGAAAGGTTGGTGGTTCAGACTGACCCAGAGGTGCCCGGAAATGGAGGCCAGGTGACGTGCTTGCTGAGGTCATAACCTTGCAAGCCCTTTGGCACAGCTCTGCTGTGTGCCCACGGGTCGGCGTGAGTTGAGTTGTTGGGAAAGAGATCAGATTATTTTCAAAAGTGAATCTGTCAGGGAAGGATCTTTGCTATGGAAATAGACCGAGAGTAGGGGGTGAGAGTGAAGCTGGTTGGATGCAGAATGCAAGGGTGAGGCAATCCACTTGGTTTCTTCCTCCCAGCATTCAACCATTCAATCAACAAATGCCCATCTGCATACCAGGTGCTATTTTAGGTGCTGGGGACACAGCTGACCATGGGAACATGAAGTCCATGCGCTCTGGAGCTGACGTTCTGTAAGGGGCGATTAGATCACAAATAAGTGAAGGAGGAGGTCAGGGAAGAGGGAGAAGGCTCATGTGGGGGAGCCTAGTGAGGAAGGTAGAAAGGAAGGTTAACTGCTGCTGTATCGCCAAGTATTTATAGTGCATCTATCTATACTACCGTGGACGTGGGTAAGAACGTGGTGTATGTTCTCGCATCGAAACCTTTCCTACAGCATTCAGGATTTCATTTTAACATCCTGTTACCACTTAGCATGCATTTCAGATCAAAGGGAAACGAACCCCCATTACTGGGGTCACTTCAGCCAGTCTCCTGCTATGTTGGTGAGACACTGAAGTTGAACTAAATACATAAAAATGGATTTGACCATCAGAATTTGCTTTCTCAACAGCAGGCTTTATTGAGCAAACTGTTATCTTCACGATTTTTAACTATAATTATAGGCTATCCAGCAGTCAACACATTGCAACACAAGTATTACTTTTTTTCACTTGAGGAGTGGTTAAAACTTGAATTGTTAGTGTGCTATATTAATTATAATCTCTCCTCCCCTCTCCCCCCAAAGCCAAACTCATGGCCCTTGAGTCAGTTCTGCCCCATGGTGACCCTGTAGGACAGGGTAAAACTACTACTGTGGCTTTCAGAGACTATCACTGGTTACGGGACGAAAAAGCCTCCTTTTTCTCTGATGGAGAGGTTAGTGGTTTTGAACAGCTGACCTTCTGGTTAGCAGCCACTAGGCCATCAGGGCTCACTATGAGCTATGGAAAATTAAAACAAAACACCACACACCTATAGAGGATCCTCATATACCAACCATCTTCCTGGCGATCATCTGAACGGACTATGGAGTCATTTCATAACACAGTAGATTTGGTAGGTATTAAAAAGAGTTTATATTTTATTTGGTCTTTGGCAGATTTCTCTTTCATAGTTTCTGAATCAGATGGAAGCTTAATTTTAAAAATAAGTTTCTATAATAAAATGATTTTTTAAAGAGATTTTTCTGCGTTTCCTTGGGTTCAATTAACTTTTGGTGACACTCGAGGAAAAATGAGAAACAGATCAAAGTAACGGAAAAAGGCAATAACTGAAGGGATTTGTGACGAAGAAAGCACCATAATCAGATTTGTCTGAAGGGCTGAACAAAACCCGAGATATCATACAGAGCTTGATTTCTTAGTCCCGGGGAATCCCACTCCATGGACTAGGACGGACGGGCCCCAAGAGGCCCACGGATCCATGGTCATCTTCTCAAAGTCACTGCAAACTCGCGGCCATCCAGTTGAGTTGAATCAGACTCTGAGCGACCGGAAATGCGAAACGTTGCCGAGGATGGAAACGTGCCCTCGCACTTCTCCTTGGTTCTCCGCCACTCACCACGTGGTGCCATCTGGATGCCGGAGGTTTCAGCACGTGGTCTGTGCTGCACTCGGGCTCTCAGAGTGATGGAAAGGGTGATCTGTTTGCTCCCTAGCAGACAGCGGGAGCAGGCCCGCCTTCCCCACTCTGCCATAGGTGCTGGCTTAGCATGGACGGTCCAGGACATGGTGGGGCTTGGCAGAGGGGTTAGTAACAAGAGTGCATGACTGCAGGAGGCAACCTCGGGGGAAAAAAGACTGTGTGCTTTAATCACCTGCACTCCTGTATCTAGTGAGGGACCTGGAACTGCGTGGCTCAGTCTCCAGGGGTCCTTACGTTGCATGCTCTTTCTGAATTTAGATTCCAGACAGGAAAAAGAACAGGGAAGCCATGGTGAGGAAGGACAACAGGGAAATTCAGCGAAGGTTTGAAACAGCAGGTTAATGAATAGACGTTATTGTAAGTGTGAGCATCCAGAAGCAGTACAATGGCATTTGCGGAGTTTCGCTACATTCTGACTAGGAATCAAACTGGTAGCAGTGGGTTTGGCTGGGCTGAAACCTCCCCTGGAGTAGATTCTGACTCCCGCTGAGTCCACGTGTCTGCAGAATGGTCTTGGCTGATATCTTCAGGGGAGCCTCTCTTCTGTGGCACCATTGCATGCGTTTGAATTGCCGACCTTTATGTTAGTCGCTGAACACAGATCATTTGTACGAGCCAGTGACCTTGTCTTCATGCTTAGTAACCTTGTCATGAGTTCCCCCGATTGGCAGCACCTTACACGGGTTGTCACAAACTTGTTGGGAGAAAGAAGTAGAGCGTGTCTCTTGTGATTCATTTGGGAGAGGGCGCTTGGAAGTTTGTGCCTGGTTTCCCCCTAACTTTAACTCGTGGGCTGTTTCCCTGGGCAGCTTTTGTTGTAGTCTTTTGCTGTTAATGTATCATAGCCACAAGTCTACAAGTCTAGCAAATAATGGAAACGCAGAGTGGTCTTAAGAATCTCCTCATCCATCAGGCATCATCGGAACAAAAAATCATATCATTGTGAATGAGGCGGGGCGTGCAGAGTGGAGACCCAAAGCCCATTTGTAGGCCACTGGA